CAGCGGGCGGAGACATCGTGGGCGGGGGGGAGGACAACAATTTGATGAGATACCGGCTCGCATTGATTGTTTGGGGTTGATGGGCTTAGTGCGACGTGACGTCGTGATCGCATACATACACTGTATTTTGTTCCCGCTGTAAAACGTTCACGCAATTTTCATTTGTGATGACGGAACGATGAAAGCCACACGGGAGGGTAAGTGAGCGCACTATTGTGTCCATATGTAGAACAATTGCCGTGCAAACAACATTGATTGGCAATAGTTGAACACAGTTTGAGCACAAGGGGGCTAGAGGGAGAAAACAATTCAAAGCGGGTGCAACAACACTACAGTAGTAGTAGGCAGTGTGACTTCTTCCTCAAGGAGTGCGGAGCTGAGCATGCATGGTGGTCGGGGACTATCTATGTCGACGGCCAGCTCGGTGAGGGGAAATACCGGGTACACGAGACAAGACAGGCGGGACAAAAAAGATCCAACATCGTCACCCGACCGTAAACGAAAGTACAACAGGCGTCAACGGGTCACGGAAAATAGAGTCGCTACAAATATTTAGCTAGACCACACGACTTGAGGAAAAACTAGCCAGCACATGTACAATGCGCCAACGCACCACCGCCGTGCTGTGCCCTTTTCTCTGCTACATGTTCATGACAAATCTGCACGGCGGAGCCTCTACTGTAGCAGTGTGGTGGGCACAACATGAGTCAGAACATTTACGTGTGTATCTGTGTTTCTCCCCCCGGGACTCTGCCGGATTGAAGGTTCAATTCACGCGTGATCCACGTTTGTTTACTCGACGAGTTTTGTACCCTGTGTGGTGATAGGAACTTCTTGCTGTGTGATTTGATTATTCTACGCTACTATATCCTCGATCTCAGAACCCCGTCGAACACTGGATCGGGCGGGTGGTCTGTGGGAGATAGAGCACGCGACAGCTCGTCTGTTTGACCACGATGTATGGGTGACACCAGATGACACATACAAGCTCCATAGGTAATGTTTTTCACTGCGGGGAATCGAACAACCGCCGTCGGATGTCACCCCCGATCAACATATCTTTAGCCCCGCCCCACCTGAACCAAACGGAGCGGGCAGGCCGTGCTACCGTACATGGGCGATATTTATCAGTATATCGTGATGTCTGCCCCTGGTTCGCCACGCTCGTCTCCGCAATGACCGTGCCACGGCGGTAAAGGAAGAGAGGCTACGAGAAGGTCCTTACAACCGCTCACCTCTGGTTGTTTGTACGAACTCGTCGGTGTGTGTGGTTGTTCGTCTCGATTGGAAGCTCGCGAAGGCAGGTAGGTGGTGAGTGGTGTCGCGAAGTCTTGGAGGACGAGGTGTCTTGCAGCAGCAGTGGTCGCGCGGTGTTCGTTCGGGAAGAGGGCGAGGACGTGTGTGATATGTGAGCGAAGGGCGCGTGCCAGTGCGTGCGAGGTGGGTCGGATTTGTCAAGATTCCAGATGGATTTGAAGTCGGTGCAATCGTCCTACGCATTGAACCTGGTTTTGGGTGAAATTGCAAAAGCACGAAAGTACAACGGATCTATTGCTCCGCTCGCTCTCTCACAAGAACAAGCCGGGAAAGTTCTCTTGGCGCACCTTGGTTGGTAAACCACGGGACTGTCACTTCGCCGTCCGGCGTTTGTTGGCGACCCGAGAGGTCAAGGGTCCCGAGTCCCGAGTCCCGAGTCCTGTTGGTTCCCCGTGTCCTGCTTACACACGAAAGAGAGTCCCGAGTGAGCCACACGAGGGACACGAACACACATGCAGTAGAGAGTGCATTTCACTCTCACGGCGCTGGCATTTAGTGTCTGTTGGGGGCTTGCCTGTTGTGTGCTTTTACACCGCGGTTGTATGCGTACGACACGTCCCACGGACAGAACTACGAGAGAGAGAGAGCGGATATGGGCCTTCTGGACGAAGACGACGGCATGGACGCGGATGATGAGATGCACAGGACATGGAGGTCCGGATGCACATTTAAGCGTCTGGGTATGCGCTGTTTACTACTCTACAGCTGTCAGTAGCAGTCAGTCGTGGAGTTCTGAGTTGGGGGCTTACATGCAGGTGGGTGGTCGGGTTTGGTGGGTTGATCACTGGGCAGTGAGCAGCCATCTCTGCGAACACCGTGCCCAGATCGAGCAGGAAGACCAAAGTACGCGCAGCGTGAAGCCACAGGTAGGAAGTACATACACAGCCAGTGGAGAAAGATGCGTCGGTACAGATTCGGTGGTTTCTTTGTTGCTTCATGCGTCGAATACGTTCAAGCGGGTGCGTGTGGTCTGCAACAGCAGTGATCGAGTACTCGATGGCGCAGCTGATACGCCCAACGCCACCCTTCCTTGTGGATCAAGTAGGGTGAGAGTCTTATTCTCTTGCACTAGGATCGTCGATGTACAGTATCACGTCAGACTGGTCGCGGAATCTACACAAGAGGGCTTGCGTTTGATCCAGGAAGTCCTGTCGCGTCCAGAATATATAACATATTTGATCTAAGCTACGATCTCACTTTGCGCGATCGGTGCTGCTCGTTGTAGGGCCCAGTGTCACCAATCAAAACCGTGACGGAATCTCAGGCACAACCAAACCATGCCGCCGTTCATGGTCAGGAAGGGAGACGCCGGGCCCATCGGATCACCGCCAACCCCCACGACGACCATCACCACCACCACCACCACCACCACCACCACCACCACACAACTACCACCACTGCCACAACCGGCAACCAACTATCGTGTTCCATTCACGAGTTCAATGTTGCCGGGGGTCGCCCCGACGAGTGCCTAGGCACCACTGGGAGCAGCTTCACTCCCGGCATTCCCGCCATACGGGGGGACCCATCCCGCCACGTTTTTCTCGACGAGGCCCCGGTCGCCAGCCACCGCAGTAAGGTTCTGTCCGAGTCGTCCGTCCACAAGCCCAATCTATCCGGGGAGGCCCGATTCAAACAACCCTTGCCAAGTTGTCGCACCACATCGCAGCACGTGCGTGCAACCAACGGTGGGCCACAGTGCCACATCGCGCTCATGCATCATAGCAGGCCAAGCAAGCACTTCTTCATCTGAGTATCATGAGCACAGCGCAAGTCGTGAGTTCTCGTGATTTTTTTCTTGGTCAGTTGCCAGGCCGGAGGGACCCATCCCGCCACGTTTTTCTCGACGAGGCCCCGGTCGCCAGCCACCGCAGTAAGGTTCTGTCCGAGTCGTCCGTCCACAAGCCCAATCTATCCGGGGAGGCCCGATTCAAACAACCCTTGCCAAGTTGTCGCACCACATCGCAGCACGTGCGTGCAACCAACGGTGGGCCACAGTGCCACATCGCGCTCATGCATCATAGCAGGCCAAGAAAGCACTTCTTCATCTGAGTATCATGAGCACAGCGCAAGTCGTGAGTTCTCGTGATTTTTTTCTTGGTCAGTTGCCAGGCCGGAGGGGCCCATCCCGCCACGTTTTTCTCGACGAGGCCCCGGTCGCCAGCCACCGCAGTAAGGTTCTGTCCGAGTCGTCCGTCCACAAGCCCAATCTATCCGGGGAGGCCCGATTCAAACAACCCTTGCCAAGTTGTCGCACCACATCGCAGCACGTGCGTGCAACCAACGGTGGGCCACAGTGCCACATCGCGCTCATGCATCATAGCAGGCCAAGCAAGCACTTCTTCATCTGAGTATCATGAGCACAGCGCAAGTCGTGAGTTCTCGTGATTTTTTTCTTGGTCAGTTGCCAGGCTGGAAGGACCCATGGCTCATCAACACAAAAGCAATAACACAACACAAGATATCAACACTGAATGAATGTGACAAGCAGAAGCTTCGGCAAGAAGGCAACCGTTCATGCGCGTTGGCATTGTTAACCATGCACAACATCACCCCAAGAAGGAGAACAAAAACAAAAAAAACGCGTGCGTGTCATCCATCTCCTTACCCTACACCTGCCTGCCCCCCAGGCCGAATACAAGCCAGACGATAGCAACACGAAACGCATGCGCATGTACCACACGATCATCGTCGTCGTCATTGCAGTGACAAGGCCGAAACAAAAAACAAGGACGTTGCATCAGTCTTACACTCTAGATGGCGACATCAGCCTCACACTCTAGAGGGCGACATCAGTCTCCGTGGATGACACCAGGCAGACTCCAGCAGCATCAAAACCAGAAATATCGTCTCAAACGCAAGCGGCCCCGCCGAATCAATGGCAGTTCGGCGGAAGAGGACGCCATCTACTTTTTTCGTGCCCCCCGTCAGGTGTACCCGCCCGGCGAGTACTTTCGACTTGTGCATGATGTGGGTTGGCAACTGTGTTCCTAAAATAGAGCTACAAGCTTCAGCAAACCTGATTTCTGATAAAAGAGGTTGGCTAGACCAACCACTTCCAAGCCTTTCTCACGCAATCTAGTCTAGACAATCTCTTCCCAAAAACAATCGCGGTCAAACAAATTTCTTCAAAAACACAAAACACGTCATCAAACGGATCGCTCTGTCTATCGTCAGTAGTCTTCCTCCTCGAAGCCGCTCGACTTTTTCGCCATGGACGGCAAGAAAGGTGCCAGAACGATGCCGACGCGCCCCACGCACGCGAACCCCGGGGTGGGCTCTCCCTCGAAGTAGCGAACCACCAGGCCCTCGGAGGGCGTGTCCCACAGGAAGAACTTTCCGAACTCGAACTCTCGATTCATCTCGGTTTTCTTTTTTCATTTGTTGATCGACGTTTTGCGAGGATACAGAGGAAAGAGAGAGAGGGAGATACGGCGGGAGTGAGGGAGAGTCAAAAACCACACTCGATCGGTGTCTGTGATTCAGATGGCCGTTCCGCCGGTGCTGCGAGCGCTGTTGACACCGCGAATCAAGCGACAGGGTTTCCATAACAAAGTGTGGCGTCTCTCGAAACAACGGGGTAAGAACGGCTGCCGACAACCTTCTTGCCCCGCAGGTCAGCCATTCGTCTGGTCCCGTCAACCTTGTCGTCGTACGCCAGAGATCCCTCGCCCTCTGTAGAAAAACAAGGGAAGAAAGCTACACGTCACGTCATCAAACACAATTACACACGCACATGCATCGAATCCTCCCTCTGTTAACCCTATCAATGCCCCCATTTCCGACGGCCAGCCCGTTGTCGGCACCACATCAATAGCCGTGGAGTCGAGAAACACACCCACAACACAACACAACACACAACGCATCGAACACGCGCAGGACACTCAAACAATCGCCGCACACCTCGTCATTCGGCATCTGGATATTAAGGTCATCGTTCGGGCACACGATCGCCACGGGCTCCTTCATGTTGAAAACCTGCTCGCCGCCGGGCACGGCAACGGTACCCAGCTGGGGCATGGGGGGGTAGAGGGACAGAGAGAGAGAAACAGAGAGAATGGGTGCGGGCTGAGACCGGAGAGGGTACAGGCGGGAGCGGGGGGAGGTTACCCTTATTGGTCAGACCGGCGCGGCGGAACAAGCTACTCGGAAGAGAGGTCAGAACAACGAAAAGTGTCTCATTCGAAGACAAACAAACCCAACAAAACACGATGGAAACGGCAACATCAACACTACCACCTCCACTAACAACAACGACAACAACAACAAACAACATCACCTCCACCAACGCAAACAACAACAGCAGCAGTGACAGCAGTGGTCTGTCTTGTCATTGATACCTGAGGCCCCTCCGGGTCCGAGAAATCGTACTGCCACATGCCCATCTCTGGCGCCGGCGTGAACCCTACCGCCATAATGTACGCCACCGTAATCTCGGGCAACGCTCCCGCCACCTGTTCCATTCGTGCCGGTACGTTCATGATGTGCAGGATGGGACAGGACAAGGCATGAAAGGGGTCTTCACATCGAGTAGACGCGAAGCTTGCACACAGCAGTGGGGAGCGGCCGGTTTAGCGAGACCCCCTTGTAGGGTTAGGAGCGAATATGGTCGCTATTCAGGGCAGGCCGTCGCTATGGCCGGTATATAGCGGACGTAGTCGGGGTGCAGCAGTGGTGCCACGCGATTTTGGTGGTCGCCACGCCGTAGTCGTTGGCACCTCTTCGTTTGGCGAGTTCGCCACACAAAGGGCATGGGTGTCGCCAAACAGGGAGGTGCTAACGACTACGGCATGCATTTACATGAGCATACACCCCATCCCACCCTTTGTCGTCCTCCTATCAAGTTACAGTTTCTTGTTCGGTTTTTGGTCGAGTCTCCCCGCTTGGCTGCGCTGGAGCTGGGCGAGCTGAGCACTCTATTCCAATTGATCGATATATATATATATGGTGGAAGATTGACAAAATATGCGTTAATATTTAATTAAGGAATAATAAAAACACACACAGAAAGACTGCCCATATTTGTATCCGTTGGCCGTCTACGGTAATATATGGTGGTACCAGACAACATGCGCTTGGAAGGATGAATGAATGTCACCTCTCTTCTGCGAGGTGTAAGACCGGATGGTGGTGGTGTTATACTTGTGGACTCTCGATATCACAGCACAAAAAAACGATCGTGCGTGCGCGCCCACCACCAACAATCCCTCAACCCAGATAGGTAGTAGGGTATTTGTGAAGTTCGGCTGGTCTCCTTATAGCTACTCTCCCATTGCCGATGCATTGGAAACGATCATTTGCGACGTGTGGGTGACCGGTACACCACAATGGCACAAAGGAGGACCCCCATGCGAAAAAATAAGCCTTTTACATTATTGTCTTCAACGTCTTTACTTCCATTCACGCCAACTCTACTCCTGGGTGTTTTCAACGCATCTCCCTCTGTCTGCCTCTGACCGTGCGCGCCACGGCGTACCCCCCGTTAGAACACCCGCCCCCCTCGCAAAACAACAGCAAAGAGGCACGCCTTACACTACAGCAGTGGAGTCCATATCTATTCTATCATTGTTTTCGGAATGAACACTTACAACCCCGAATGCACTTCACGTCAAACCCCACCACCGCACCCCATTCCCCACCGCAACAGATAACCGACACGAACACATGAACCCTTAGCGGCGACAACACCATTCGCCCAAACCCTGCCCCATTTTGATCCCGCGCCGGAGGGGGTAGGGGAGGGTTGGTACTCATGTTTTTCACGCCCTAGCGGTTAGACTCGGGGGAGGGGGGGGGTAAATATACGGATGAACACCGCTTTTCGTTCTCCTTGAGACGCCAACGATTTTATATACCAAATAGAGGACATCACTCATACAGTAAACATCGCCCTCTCACACCCACAACATATTCCTCCAAGTAGTTCATCGTATGGATGATGGATGTGAAGCACTGCATCCACAACAGTGCCCCTCGTTGTATCCCCTACTGGTTATATTTCTATCAATTATTCTATCAATTACAACACCACGAACTTCTAAACTTGGTCTGCTCCTCCAACGCTCGTCACGAACAAGCCACAATACAACATTCACTCACGCCGGCAATCCACGTCTAGGGCCGCTACGTGGTGCTCTCTACATGTAGCACACCACGGGCACCCATCGACAAAAAACGACCCGAAAGGATAGCAACCTTCTCAACAGAGCCCCCTCTCTCAACAAAGAAATAAACGGTAAATGTGCCGGTGGAAGACCAACACGCTAACACGGAGGTGCCAACAAAGAGCAACCTTTGGTGAATGACCAAGCACGCATGAGGCCGACAGCATGACAACCGTCTCATACTCTCGGGTTACAGTAACAACAGCAGTCATTCTTTACTCTCAGTAAACCGGCATGCCGCCAGACAGAATTGACACGCCGGCGACGAAGTGGCTGGGCCCGCAGCGGCGGTACTTGTTCTCCTTCTGCCCGCCCTCGTGCCACAGCTGCTCCACCTCGCGCGCGAAGGCCGCCTGAACCTGCAGCGGCCCTCCCCGAGCCTCGACGACCCCGTGCTCGAACGATCCCAGCCGCCCGTGGCGCTCGTCCTCCCTGCCTCCGGACACGTTGGTCTCGCCCGAGAAGGACAAGGAGGGCCTGCTGCGTTCCGAGGTGGACTCGAAGAGGACGGTACCCGGGTCGCGCACGCGCGGGAGCGGCACGTCACGAGGCTCGCCACCGGCCCAGCGACGGACGCCCGCGGTGAAGCGGCCCCGGGAGCCGAGGCGCTCCGTGGGGCGGGCGGCGTTGACGCAGGCCTCGGCGGAGAGATCCGGCTTGTGGACGGCGGACACGAAGAGCACCTTGCCGTGGTCGACCTCGGCCTCGAGCGGTACGTCGCGAGGCTTGCCACCGGCCCAGCGACGCCCCCCTGGCGTGAAGCGGCCGCGAGCTCCGAGGCGCTCCATGGGACGGACAGCGTTGGTGCGGGCCTCGGAGGAGAGGTCCGGCTTGTGGATGGCGGACACAAAGAGAACCTTGCCGTGGTCGACCTCGGCCTCGAGCGGTACGTCCCGCGCATGGCCACCGGACATGATGCGCACGCCGCGGGTGAAGGAGCCCCTGGTACCGAAGCGCTCGTCGGGGCGACCGCCAGCGACGTTGAAGGTGGGCAGGCCGGAGAGGTCGGGCTTGTGGACGGAGGTCATGGCGCTGTTGTTGTTGATCGTTGTGATTGCGACGAAGCCTGAAATGTAGCGAGGCAGCGGGCGGAGACATCGTGGGCGGGGGGGAGGACAACAATTTGATGAGATACCGGCTCGCATTGATTGTTTGGGGTTGATGGGCTTAGTGCGACGTGACGTCGTGATCGCATACATACACTGTATTTTGTTCCCGCTGTAAAACGTTCACGCAATTTTCATTTGTGATGACGGAACGATGAAAGCCACACGGGAGGGTAAGTGAGCGCACTATTGTGTCCATATGTAGAACAATTGCCGTGCAAACAACATTGATTGGCAATAGTTGAACACAGTTTGAGCACAAGGGGGCTAGAGGGAGAAAACAATTCAAAGCGGGTGCAACAACACTACAGTAGTAGTAGGCAGTGTGACTTCTTCCTCAAGGAGTGCGGAGCTGAGCATGCATGGTGGTCGGGGACTATCTATGTCGACGGCCAGCTCGGTGAGGGGAAATACCGGGTACACGAGACAAGACAGGCGGGACAAAAAAGATCCAACATCGTCACCCGACCGTAAACGAAAGTACAACAGGCGTCAACGGGTCACGGAAAATAGAGTCGCTACAAATATTTAGCTAGACCACACGACTTGAGGAAAAACTAGCCAGCACATGTACAATGCGCCAACGCACCACCGCCGTGCTGTGCCCTTTTCTCTGCTACATGTTCATGACAAATCTGCACGGCGGAGCCTCTACTGTAGCAGTGTGGTGGGCACAACATGAGTCAGAACATTTACGTGTGTATCTGTGTTTCTCCCCCCGGGACTCTGCCGGATTGAAGGTTCAATTCACGCGTGATCCACGTTTGTTTACTCGACGAGTTTTGTACCCTGTGTGGTGATAGGAACTTCTTGCTGTGTGATTTGATTATTCTACGCTACTATATCCTCGATCTCAGAACCCCGTCGAACACTGGATCGGGCGGGTGGTCTGTGGGAGATAGAGCACGCGACAGCTCGTCTGTTTGACCACGATGTATGGGTGACACCAGATGACACATACAAGCTCTAGGTGATGTTTTTCACTGCGGGGAATCGAACAACCGCCGTCGGATGTCACCCCCGATCAACATATCTTTAGCCCCGCCCCACCTGAACCAAACGGAGCGGGCAGGCCGTGCTACCGTACATGGGCGATATTTATCAGTATATCGTGATGTCTGCCCCTGGTTCGCCACGCTCGTCTCCGCAATGACCGTGCCACGGCGGTAAAGGAAGAGAGGCTACGAGAAGGTCCTTACAACCGCTCACCTCTGGTTGTTTGTACGAACTCGTCGGTGTGTGTGGTTGTTCGTCTCGATTGGAAGCTCGCGAAGGCAGGTAGGTGGTGAGTGGTGTCGCGAAGTCTTGGAGGACGAGGTGTCTTGCAGCAGCAGTGGTCGCGCGGTGTTCGTTCGGGAAGAGGGCGAGGACGTGTGTGATATGTGAGCGAAGGGCGCGTGCCAGTGCGTGCGAGGTGGGTCGGATTTGTCAAGATTCCAGATGGATTTGAAGTCGGTGCAATCGTCCTACGCATTGAACCTGGTTTTGGGTGAAATTGCAAAAGCACGAAAGTACAACGGATGTATTGCTCCGCTCGCTCTCTCACAAGAACAGACCGGGAAAGTTCTCTTGGCGCACCTTGGTTGGTGAACCACGGGACTGTCACTTCGCCGTCCGGCGTTTGTTGGCGACCCGAGAGGTCAAGGGTCCCGAGTCCCGAGTCCTGTTGGTTCCCCGTGTCCTGCTTACACACGAAAGAGAGTCCCGAGTGAGCCACACGAGGGACACGAACACACATGCAGTAGAGAGTGCGTTTCACTCTCACGGCGGTGGCATTTAGTGTCTGTTGGGGACTTGCCTGTTGTGTGCTTTTACACCGCGGTTGTACGCGTACCACACGTCCCACGGACAGAACTACGAGAGAGAGAGAGAGAGAGCGGATATGGGCCTTCTGGACGAAGACGACGGCATGGACGCGGATGATGAGATGCACAGGACACGGAGGTCCGGATGCACATTTAAGCGTCTGGGTATGCGCTATTTACTACTCTACAGCTGTCAGTAGCAGTCAGTCGTGGAGTTCTGAGTTGGGGGCTTACATGCAGGTGGGTGGTCGGGTTTGGTGGGTTGATCACTGGGCAGTGAGCAGCCATCTCTGCGAACACCGTGCCCAGATCGAGCAGGAAGACCAAAGTACGCGCAGCGTGAAGCCACAGGTAGGAAGTACATACACAGCCAGTGGAGAAAGATGCGTCGGTACAGATTCGGTGGTTTCTTTGTTGCTTCATGCGTCGAATACGTTCAAGCGGGTGCGTGTGGTCTGCAACAGCAGTGATCGAGTACTCGATGGCGCAGCTGATACGCCCAACGCCACCCTTCCTTGTGGATCAAGTAGGGTGAGAGCCTTATTCTCTTGCACTAGGATCGTCGATGTACAGTATCACGTCAGACTGGTCGCGGAATCTACACAAGAGGGCATGCGTTTGATCCAGGAAGTCCTGTCGCGTCCAGAATATATAAAATAATTGATCTAAGCTACGATCTCACTTTGCGCGATCGGTGCTGCTCGTTGTAGGGCCCAGTGTCACCAATCAGTACCGCGACGGAATCTCAGGCACAACCAAACCATGCCGCCGTTCATGGTCAGGAAGGGAGACGCCGGGTCCATCGGATCACCGCCAACCCCCACGACGGCCATCACCACCACCACCACCACCACCACCACACAACTACCACCACTGCCACAACCGCCACACAACCGGCAACCAACTATCGTGTTCCATTCACGAGTTCAATGTTGCCGGGGGTCGCCCCGACGAGTGCTTAGGCACCACTGGGAGCAGCTTCACTCCCGGCATCCCCGCCATACCGGGGGACCCATCCCGTCACGTTTTTCTCGACGAGGCCCCGGTCGCCAGCCACCGCAGTAAGGTTCTGTCCGAGTCGTCCGTCCACAAGCCCAATCTATCCGGGGAGGCCCGATTCAAACAACCCTTGCCAAGTTGTCGCACCACATCGCAGCACGTGCGTGCAACCAACGGTGGGCCACAGTGCCACATCGCGCTCATGCATCATAGCAGGCCAAGCAAGCACTTCTTCATCTGAGTATCATGAGCACAGCGCAAGTCGTGAGTTCTCGTGATTTTTCTTGGTCAGTTGCCAGGCCGGAAGGACCCATGGCTCATCAACACAAAAGCAATAACACAACACAAGATATCAACACTGAATGAATGTGACAAGCAGAAGCTTCGGCAAGAAGGCAACCGTTCATGCGCGTGGGCATTGTTAACCATGCACAATATCACTCCAAGAAGGAGCAAAAAAAACAAAAAAAACGCGTGCGTGTCATCCATCTCTTTACCCTACACCTGCCTGCCCCCCAGGCCGAATACAAGCCAGACGATAGCAACACGAAACGCATGCGCATGTACCACACGATCATCGTCGTCGTCATTGCAGTGACAAGGCCGAAACAAAAAACAAGGACGTTGCATCAGTCTTACACTCTAGATGGCGACATCAGTCTCCGTGGATGACACCAGGCAGACTCCAGCAGCATCAAAACCAGAAATATCGTCTCAAACGCAAGCGGCCCCGCCGAATCAATGGCAGTTCGGCGGAAGAGGACGCCATCTACTTTTTTCGTGCCCCCCGTCAGGTGTACCCGCCCGGCGAGTACTTTCGACTTGTGCATGATGTGGGTTGGCAACTGTGTTCCTAAAATAGAGCTACAAGCTTCAGCAAACCTGATTTCTGATAAAAGAGGTTGGCTAGACCAACCACTTCCAAGTCTTTCTCACGCAATCTAGTCTAGACAATCTCTTCCCAAAAACAATCGCGGTCAAACGAATCTCTTCAAAAACAAAACACGTCATCAAACGGATCGCTCTGTCTATCGTCAGTAGTCTTCCTCCTCGAAGCCGCTCGACTTTTTCGCCATGGACGGCAAGAAAGGTGCCAGAACGATGCCGACGCGCCCCACGCACGCGAACCCCGGGGTGGGCTCTCCCTCGAAGTAGCGAACCACCAGGCCCTCGGAGGGCGTGTCCCACAGGAAGAACTTTCCGAACTCGAACTCTCGATTCGCTCGGTCAATTACCAAGATGCATCTCGGTTTTCTTTTTTCATTTGTTGATCGACGTTTTGCGAGGATACAGAGGAAAGAGAGAGAGGGAGATACGGCGGGAGTGAGGGGGAGCCAAAAACCACACTCGATCGGTGTCTGTGATTCAGATGGCCATTCCGCCGGTGCTGCGAGCGCTGTTGACACCGCGAATCAAGCGACAGGGTTTCCATAACAAAGTGTGGCGTCTCTCGAAACAACGGGGTAAGAACGGCTGCCGACAACCTTCTTGCCCCGCAGGTCAGCCATTCGTCTGGTCCCGTCAACCTTGTCGTCGTACGCCAGAGATCCCTCGCCCTCTGTAGAAAAACAAGGGAAGAAAGCTACACGTCACGTCATCAAACACAATTACACACCCACATGCATCGAATCCTCCCTCTGTTAACCCTATCAATGCCCCCATTTCCGACGGTCAGCCCGTTGTCGGCACCACATCAATAGCCGTGGAGTCGAGAAACACACCCACAACACAGCACAACACACAACGCATCGAACACGCGCAGGACACTCAAACAATCACCGCACACCTCGTCATTCGGCATCTGGATATTAAGGTCATCGTTCGGACACACGATCGCCACGGGCTCCTTCATGTTGAAAACCTGCTCGCCGCCGGGCACGGCAACGGTACCCAGCTGGGGCACGGGGGGGTAGAGGGAGAGAGAGAGAGAAACAGAGAGAATGGGTGCGGGCTGAGACCGGAGAGGGTACAGGCGGGAGCGGGGGGAGGTTACCCTTATTGGTCAGACCGGCGCGGCGGAACATACTACTCGGAAGAGAGGTCAGAACAACGAAAAGTGTCTCATTCGAAGACAAACAAACCCAACACAACACGATGGAAACGGCAACATCAACACTACCACCTCCACTAGCAACAACGACAACAACAACAAGCAACATCACGTCCACCAACGCAAACAACAACAACAGCAGTGACAGCAGTGGTCTGTCTTGTCAATGATACCTGAGGCCCCTCCGGGTCCGAGAAATCGTACTGCCACATGCCCATCTCTGGCGCCGGCGTGAACCCCACCGCCATAATGTCCGCCACCGTAATCTCGGGCAACGCTCCCGCCACCTGTCCCATTCGTGCCGGTACGTTCATGATGTGCAGGATGGGACAGGACAAGGCATGAAAGGGGTCTTCACATGGAGCAGACGCGAAGCTTTCACGCAGCAGTGGGGAGCGGCCGGTTTAGCGAGACCCCCTTGTAGGGTTAGGAGGGAATATGGTCGCTATTCAGGGCAGGCCGTCGCTATGGCCGGTATATAGCGGACGTAGTCGGGGTGCAGCAGTGGTGCCACGCGATTTTGGTGGTCGCCACACACAGGTCATGGGTGTCGCCAAACAGGGAGGTGCTAACGACTACGGCATGCGTATACATGAGCACACACCCCATCCCACCCTTTGTCGTCCTCCTATCAAGTTACAGTTTCTTGTTCGGTTTTCTCATCTTCCTCGCACCTGCACGATACGAGGCGCGAACACCTCGTCGTCCATCTGGTCTACTGGAAGAAATCGCGACCTCATGCCGTGGGAGCCCTCCAGCGGCGCCGCCTGGGGTGTTGTTTTCGGCGACAAAGGATAAAATGGACGAAAACGGCAGGACAGAGATGCCAGCGGGGGCGGCGTAAGCAGGCGAAGCCAATACCTAAAGAGGGGGTAGGTGAGTCAGATCAGTCTCCACCACCTGCTGGAACCTCAACCTTAGGAGGTTCTTGGCTTACAAAGTCGGAGCTTGCGAGACACAGGCGCAATGAAGACGGAGACATTCGTTTGACAAGAAAAAATGAAAAAAAAATGTGTCCACTAATCACACCGTTTTATGGGAGATTTAAGTTGCAAGAAAAGTTCAAGTTTGCAATATTTTCTCCCTACGTTTCTCATGTACCCTCTTTATGGGAGCAAAAAAAAGTAGCTGTTGACAATAATAGCGCGATCTGGAGTAAGAGTTGGCCATTTTTTCTCTCGACAAAAGTGAGGAGAAAAGTTCCGTCGCGAGACTTCCGCCAATCCACGTCAAGCACCTGCATCTACCACACACGCAGACCCTCTCCCGTCACACACATGCGCACGATCCACGCGATAGGTGATCGGCAAAGTAAGATACTTGAACGACGAGTTGGAACTGCCTGCGATGGCCGCAGCTGTGTAGAATGCGTAGAAAACATATGTTTAAAGAGTCTGCTTCAACGTTTGTATTTCGATATGAGCATGATTGATGTCTTCCTGGCTTCGATTGGAAGGCACAACAGCAGGTTTTGTGCCATCAACCCGTTTTCCAAGCTTGTGTTGCACTCACTGTCTTTTATCGCGGTGTGGTAGCAAGGGGTATTCTTGGTTCTCGCCGTTGCTCAAAAAACAATACATGATCACGCCTCCGCATTTGACCAGTCCCGTGAAGAAAACTTCCTTCGCCCCTTACAATGAGCGTGCATTAAAGTGTTTTTCACAAAAGTTCCAGACCAATAGTTGCAAAAAATAACTTTTCTGGCAACTTTATGCTCCCGTAAAAAGCGGCGAAACTAGCTAACAGGTCCAGGGATCGGCAACGCATTCCATCGGACAGTTACGGGTACATGTTTTTAGACGGACGTAAGACAACACGAGGGTGTTTTAACCGGCAACTAATTATATCATCGCAAGACGGGTCCAGGTCCGGCGAGAATGTGCAGCATGTGTGTTGTTTCCACCGGCATATCTGATCAACTTTTCCCGATGGTGTATATATGAGGAGGGCATGCCAAATAATCGTTGCTGTTCACCAACCTAAGAGTACAGCTCTACGGAAGATACGACGATAACACGTACGCATGCTAGCTGTTCAACGGCATCGACTGCCTCCCTGAATAGATGGGATGAAACACACAAACGTGCTCACACACAGGTCTGGTAACCTGTTAGCGTGGTCGATGCCAATACATCAAGACACACATACAACCCCATATAAATGCATAGGTCAGGGCTGGGTCGTATGACGGAAGATACCACACCTCCCACAGAAACATGGTGTACAGCAGTGTACATGTAACGGGTTCTTGATTACAGAGCTCTCGTGCTCGACATCGTGGCGTTGTGATAGCTTCCGTTTTTCACAAAATCGCGGCGTTGTGGTCTGATGTGTCACCTACGGTAAGCGTGTGGTATACAGCAGTGTCTTCGGAAGGTTCATGTTGCCCCTAACCAATGCCACTGCGATGATGCGGTTACGAACGCGTGTACCTGCTGCCATTTGACAAGTTTGGGTGTAGACTATGGCGCTAACTGAATTCAGCAAAAAGTGCTGCAGAGAAGACCATATGACACGCTGCCTCATAACCACTGCCCATGCCTGTCCATCCTTGGAAGGCAGCAGCGGAACAGCACGCGACTGCTGTTGCTGTTGCGGTGTGCGGCCCGTGCTGTCGCTGCTCTGCACGTCAACTTGTGATCATGATCAATCAAGATCGATTATGACACGGAAAAGCAAGCGCTTAACGACACCCGGCATGCACGCTTTGCTGCTGCTCGACACCCACGGCCACAAGGAGGTGAACAAGCGTAACTCTCCCTCCCTCTTTGTCCATGTCACTACTCTACTCACCATCGACAAGCTCCCTGTTCGCCCCGAAGCACCGACGCCGCCTGGTGCCCGCGATGGCAACAACGTGGGGTTCACAACGAAAGCTCTTGCGCCCGCCAGCAAGAGAGCACACGCTACCACGCAGGTTCGAGACTTTGCATCCTTCATGGTCGCAGCGGGTCGAGGCTACTCTGCTTCTCTTGCGTGTCTGTGATCAGCGAGAGACACGCGTGCGACATCGACAAAGGAGTTGTAGAGATCGGACAGGGGATTTTTTCCTCGGTGGCCGCAAGCCGGCAGGCCGGTCGCCGGTCGCCGTTCGTTCGCCGTTCGGCCGGTGGCGGTGTGGCGGTCGATTAGAGGTCTATCCTCAGAGACTCAGGGTGGTTCGTAATGTTCTCGGGCGTGCCTCTTTTGTCTGTGCTCGTTGATGCTGCAATGAGTGCGTACGTCGCCTTCTCTCTTCGAAATTATGTTGATACTACTTTCTGTGAGGAAACCGAAGGGGATTCTATCAGGTGCTCTTGCACGTAGTTGCATAGAGTTTGAACCCTCAAGTCTCAACTGGTACGTTTTGTACCTGCACGCGTGCAAATGCAACATGTGTGCCGCTCGCCGTGTAGAATGGGTTGGATTGCCGTAAAACTATGTACTAGAGTGTAGCTCCGTTCTTCGAGGCATCACAAGTTTTTCTCTCGAATGTGTGCGCATAAAAAAGGCGACACGTAAAGTTTTGCCTTTCTGCCTGTCCTCGTCTTCTTCGTGCCATCAACTTCTGTGACGTCCGTCTCTCCTTGCACTCTTGCCATGGACTGTTCGTTCTAAATACGATCAAATTCTTGTTCTTCGTCAGATCATTTGTTCACGGGAGACACAATAATGGCCGCAAGAGCGAGGCAATCGACTTTGCAGTGTAGCCTTTGGCTACAAACATTTCTGCTGCAAAATTCATAACGAATGGAAGGACAAACCGCACCCCCAAATGTATCTATCTGCTGTGCCGACCACGGCCACGAATGGACTTCGCAACCAATCAAGATACCTCCTCAAGTTCCTCAACGGCAGGCTTCGGCAGCTTCACAAACAAAACCTCTAAGAAACGCCATCTTCCTCTCACTCTACGTCGCACTTGTGCTATATTTACAGGCAATCTCGCAACACTGCCACAGCTAGCTGTAGACTATGCATGGGGTACCCCACTCCCACCCCTAGGCCCGGTCGGCGAAATGCCCGACGTCTCCTGCCCCTGCCCGAGCTGTGCTGGGGGCACAAGGGTCTAAGTAATGAAAAACAAAGGCTTACACTCCCCATGCGTAGCCAAAAATGTCAAACTATACCCCTATGCATCGCCGAAAATGTGCTTCCCCACCACAGATGCACAACAACACCCCCCACCCTTCCACAAGACACCCCCAATAGCTACACATGGCGCCCGTCTTTTCCAATGCTGTCGTCCACGAAAGCGCGCAATTTTGCGCACGAAGGCTGGCAAGATATAGCTACATTTTCACGCCAGCATCTTGAGCCAGGGTAAAATCGCTGCACATTTTGTTGGCGATGGGTCGGTGGGCGCGTGGGACGGAGGGCACGCGGACGGGTGGAGGGAGAGGAGGCATTGGACAGGAGGTGAAAAGCAGGGACACCATCTGTCTCCATGCACTTGGCCAACGACCATCCACCGCCCACGTGGTTGGACCAATCCTATGCATACCACCGCAGCTATCTGTACCCCCTCGACGACTCGCAACACAAGTCAGACACGCAAGACGTAAGAGAAATATCTGTCCGAGCCGTCAGCCCCCGGACGAGGGAGCGCTACTTGTATCACTACCGTATTACCCCGCCATATTTGCGCGACGCTGCTAGAACACGGATCGTCATTTTGTATTCTGCACGGGTTGATGACGCATCTGGATATTCGCCCTGCCTGACAGATCTGCGTACCGCATGCACGGACGGGTGTATTCGTACTTCGTAACGAAAAACTCCTTTTCTACAGGTTTGGTTCATCGAAAGCAGTTTCGAAAAAAATGTGCTCTACAATGCATTCATGCCTCCACGGAAACTTCGGAGATCCCCCTTCATGAAGGGTACAATCTCCCCAATGTCTGTCGAGGACGATTGATTCCCTCCTTTCACAACCAACCTTAAACGTAAGTTAACACCCGGCGGCACAAAACACACCTGCGTGGCACTCCTCCGGGCTCTCGTCGTGGGGACAGTGGCCGGTCTCGGGCAGGACCACCAGCTCGAACGTGTCGAGGTACTGGCCGAGCGTGTCCCCGGCGTGCAGGCCGGTCTTGAGGGGGGTCCAGGGGTCCAACTCGCCCCACAAAGCAAGGACCTGTAGATACCGTTCGTCGCATCGTGGTGGGGAACGCGTTTGTCAGAACGAAAAGCCAAAGCAAGTACTCTTGCCTTGGTGCGAGCGAAGCAAGCGCTCCAGGTCGCGTTGTACTATGCAGTATCATGTGTGTGTGTTCCCGCCCATCTATTCTGGGTGCCAGTCTATGCCTTTTCGGTGTATGTTTGACGCACTAGCCAGGTCAAACGAAAGGAAGATACACGGAGTATATATTCCCCCATATCTCCCTGCGGTGCTGTCTACCACACCTTTACACTTCGGTGACGTTTGACGTGCCAGCCGGGGCCTCACAAGAAAGGAAAATACACACACGGAGTTTTACATCTTGCTTCGTTCGGTGCGGTCTACACCTCTACATTTCGATGTGTGTTTGACGCACCTACCGGGGTCTCACACAAAAGGAAGGCATACATCATACATAGTCCTCCCCCCCCCGCGTCTTGCTTCCTGCGGTGCTTGCCGTCGGCTTCTTGCACGTACGCGGGAAGGGTTCAACACTCGACCCCCCTACCCAACATACCTTGGTGTCCTTGATGTTCTTCAGCAAAGAGGCCGGGGTGGGCCCCGGCGGCCCCGTGAACACCTTGAGGAATACGTCACAAGCCCCCTCGTCGTCGCTCGGGGTAATCAAACTGACGGAGCAGCCGCAACGGGGAGAGTGGCAAGGGTTTGGATAAGTGTACTCGATAAGCTTTGAATCTCTTCGATTCTCATACTGCGGTACCCTCTTGGGGGTGTCAGCCTTTGGCCACGGAAGGCGTCCGCGCTAGTTGGGACCAAAACGGAAGGTATTAGTGACCACAACAAAAAACTGAACGGACCAACAAAGACGGGCATAGTCTGTTCCTGGTTCTTGTGGGGGGGGGG